TACCGTCGTCATCCATTTCACAACCTTTTTCTCTTTTCTCTTCTCGTTGGCCTTGGTTCCTACCATCATCATCCATTTCACAATCTTTTTCTCCTCTTTTCCCTTATCGTTGGCCTTGGTTCCTACCGTCGTCATCCATTAGGGTTTTCCCTTATCATTAGCCTTGGTTCCTACCATTGTCATCCATTAGGGCTTTCTCTGATCGTTGGCCTTGGTTCCTACCGTCGTCATCCATTTCACAATCACTAACCCATCATAACTAACTGACTACACTAGAGTAGAAATCCCATCAGCCGCAAGTAGGAGTTCCAATAGTTGAACTTTGCGCGCTTCTTCACACCACTTCTTCTCAGCATTCCAACGCCCAGCTATCTGCTCCCGCATAAATGCTTGGTGAGTTGCAGGGCCCTGCATGCGTTCTAGGAGCTGGACCTTACATGCCTCATGACAGCGCCTTATCTCAGCATCCCAATGTTCCAATACAAGTGTTCGAAGGTAAGTCTGAGATGCTTGGATCGGCCCTGGTGTCTGACGAAATGGTGGCAATGGATACAGGACCTCATGACTCGGAGGGGGTGGATGCTCCTTAGCCTCCTTAGCCTTAGCCTGCCCTGGTGCATGATAGACACGAAACGGTCGACTCGGAGGAGGTACAGGCCTGATGAGGCATCAGCGTTTGTCATGGCTTATGGTTGAGTATCCCACCTTTTGCTGACTTCATGTCCCTCTGTAGTAGACTGTGGGTTTTGCTTACTTTCATTCGATGACAAAGACTCGCAGACAAAACTAAAATTTGGGTTAGCATGAGGTAAGTGTTGGACAAGCGAAAAAACTACTAGCGACTTACTTGACTGTGGTATCCATCGCTAGGTTGAAAGAAAAGTCAAATCTGTCCCTTGTACTTATGCTATTTTATTGACGCCGCATGGTCAGACAAAACATTAACATCCAATTCAACAGAACTTAAAAATTGTTTGTTGATTGCACGCCACAGCAGAGCTTTAAAGGCACGCCTAACCCTTATGTTGTTGCTATTGAAGCTTACCCATAATCTTAGCGGGAAAAGTAAAGGCACGCCTAACCCTTATGTTGTCGCCATTGTGACTTACTACCCATGATCATAGCGGCAAAAGTGAGTTCAATGAAGCCCTCCAAAAAGTTAATTCAGTCAGCGCAGCAGGAGCAAAGCGCCGATATGGAGTTAACCGCAGCACGCACTGCAAGTGGTCGAAAACGCCGACCGACGGAAAGGGAGACCTACAGACGTAAGTCAATCTCAGCTTGATGTTCTTGCTCGATGTGTCTGACTTCTGCTCAACAGTCTCAAAAACTCACGAAGGAGAAGACCGCCACAAAGGTTTGGAGACGAAGATGGAGAAACGCAAATTAAAGGTATGGCGCACTGCATACCAAAAAAATCCTGCGGAGTTCAATGACAAGCCTGCTGAACTGCACAGTGATATTGACAGGGATGAAGAAAACATGGTCAGTGTCTTGTTCTTCCAGGTGCTGCATTGCTAACTACAATATGGTAGTTCTTGGATCGCTTGGTACCTACAAAGGTATCTAAGCCACAGGCACTCGCATACAGTGCAAGCAAAACCCCACCAGTTGTCTCGGCTCCCAAGTCTATCAGTAACGCTGGCCGCAGCTTCAGTATGAACAAGAGCCTTCCAGCGACTATCTCAGCTTCGAAATCTATCAGTAACTTGCACAAAGGTGCAATACATTCAGTCATGGACATCTCCAAGACTAACTCTTTGGTCAGCTTCTGCGACTGTCGCAACCAACAGTGACAGCGACAGCGACAGTGCCAGTGCCAGTGCCAGTGACAACAGCGAGAGCGAAAACCAATGCGAAATAATTGACAATGACGTCCACTCAGTTCATAGTGCTGACTACATTAGTGAGCATCATGACCAATTGGATGAAGATGCCTCACCGCAGGTTGTCGGGACCAAGCACCAGCTGCAGGGCGTTGTTGAAGAAACCAAGCCAAAATTGATGAAAACTTCAAACGGATCACGCCATCGTTTAAAGGCTAGTGATTTTGATGAGGTCACAAAGGACTTACTTGCTATCGCCACGTCTATCTATTGCTGTCTAATCGTGACCCGGGAGCCCTTTCCTCTGACGCTGGTCATTGAGATGAAGCTAGCCAGGGAGGCCTGGCGCGAGGCATCTAACTTAGCACATCTCACTGTTCGACTCACCCCTTCATTGGTCAAAATGGTAAGTAGTGGTCCCTTTGGAATGTCCACATGTCTACACTGATTGATGTTATATGTTGGGTAGATGACGAGGCGCACTTCACATGTGCGTGGGGAGCTCAAAACTAAGATGCGAGCACTCACAGCATCATTCTTTGGCTTCCGCACAAGCCGCTCTACAGTGGCCATCAAACAAAATCGTGACCTGGCTGAATCTCTGAAGGATGGGTCATGTTTTGCTTTTAAGGTGCGTCACTGATTCTATGTTGGCCTGTCGTTGGTAGATGTCTTACTGGCAGAGTAACAGGACTGGGAGACGAAACGCGGCATATACAAAACTGAATTGATACAGTCAGCCATTAATAACATGTGGTTTGCAAACCGCAGCAACGAGGGTGTGATTCATGGTAGATATTTCAACCCTTTACCGGTTGAACTTCTTGCACTTATACTCACAGCAGTAAGTGTGTTTGGCCATTCCTGTGTTGATGTTGCAGCTGACTCTGGAGATCTGACAGATTGAATGTTGCATTGATGAGTGGCTAACCGGAGTCAAGGAAGACATTAAATTCTCGTTGGCTGCTTATGCTCCAGTCTATCAGGTTCATCTCACCTCCTTGCGGCGTTTCGATGAAAGAACTTCTGTGTACAAACTACTTGAAAAAATTTGTGACAACGTCCTTGATGTTGCTCGGTATGTTCCTGGCCACTTGCATCAATTATCTGACTGATGTCGATGGCAAGACTCCATGCAGGTGTACATTTAGCGCAGCCAGGTCTGGCAACTCCCATTAGCTTCGCGGATACTGTATTTGAGGACGCGATTCGCGAGTACGAAGCAGAGACTAGAGATGCACAAGAGGGGGGTTTGGAGGGCCAAGAGGAGTAAAAGTGGGTGATAGGGTGCCTTGCACTACGCCACAGCATCAATGTCTTGGGTTGTGTACATGTTGTCCGCTATGTACTAATTCTATTCAGTTTCGTCAATTTCTCTCAGTGGCATGGTTTGGCTCCTGTAGGTCAAAAAAGCGAAACTACTACAAGGTACTACTAGTGTTGCCTATTGTGATCTGTAGCAGCCTGTAGTTTGCTACAGCGAGCTACAGGAAACTACTGCAAAGTACTACTGGTGTTGTCCATTGCGGCCTGTAGCAGCCTGTAGCTTGCTACAACGGGCTACGGGCGGCTCCCATAGCGCTATATAGCATGCCTTGTGGCTATATAGCTGCGTGTAGAAGGACTTGACACATTCGGCTACAGGTACTATAGCGACTATATAGCACCCTGTAGTCAAGTGTATTTTTCCTGATGTTGTTCTTGCTGAACATTCACTCATGGATGGATCCTTCAAGGTCTATCTTTTTTTTTTTTTTTTTTTTTTAATTCAATTTTCATGTCCTAAGGAGAGTAGTGCTCTATGGAGGACAATACTATCAAGTCTAGGGGGCCCCCAGTGCCCCCTGCGCATCTCTGAGTTCGCGAATGCCCTGATGTGGGACGTACCCCATCAGTCCGCCGTTCCCGCCGGCCGTTTTAGACGCGCAACCCAATCGAAGATGAGATGACTTATATGTACGCTTGTGGTTAATATGGACTATCGGTAAGAAAACTAGAACGCGTACTCGGCCGCAGAAGCGGACAGGTACAGGAGTCGTAAGGTTGCAGGAGGTTTAATTTGTGGGTGGTCCCGTTTGGTTGGCTAGTGGGAGGGCCCATTTCCGTCTGACTGATACCAGTGAGGGTGCTCGTGACTCCGTGTGTGCGAGTAGGTGGTGTGTGTACAGGGTGTTATGGTACATTTGATGGTACAGGAGATTGTGGCGGGGGGGTGGACCGGCTTGCGTGTTTTTCGATTCTATGCAAAACTTATCAGCCTGCTGGTGTACGAGGGAGCGGGACTTCACCGAGAACAGTCTTGAACCTACGAGTTCCGTTAAGGTCTATCTTAAGTTGTCACAGCCGACTGGCACCAGAACATATTAGAAAGATTGGTGGTGCGCATTGCGGATTCAATGCCGGCGAATGTCTTATCGCACCCTTGATGTTCACTCGTGGACAGTTCTTCGAAGGTTCATCTCAACCTCTGAAGTGCACTGGCCAAAGTGATCACCCCAACAGAATCCAAATCTGTTGCTCTTGGACTGTGCAGGTTCGAAACCTGCCCACAAGTTATTTTTCTCTCAAAACACCCTGACATTCACTCATGGATGGTTTCGTCGGAGGTTCATCTAACTGGTCTTAGCTTAGTGGTTACCACAACAGACTCGAAATCTGTTTCTCTTGGACTGTACAGGTTCGAAACTTGCTGATCCACAGGTTCTTGTTCTATCGGAACACACCTTCAAGATACGCTCATGGATGGTTTCGTCGGAGGTTCACCTCAACTACGTCCTGGCCAAAGTGGTTACCACGACAGAATCTAAATCTGACAGTGCCGGTGCAGGTTCGAAACCTGCCGATGACAAGGTTTCCTTCGCTATCTTGAAGGTTTCCCATCTTAACTGATCTTATGAGCCAGGTGGTTTCCACAACAGAATTAAAATCTGTCGAAGCTGCCGACGGCAAGGTTGTTTTTCCCTACCAGAACATACTTTGACATTCACTCATGCATGGTTCCATCGGATGTTCATCTCAGCTGGTCTTAGCCAAGTAGTTACTGTCAATCCAACAGAATCAAAATCTGTTCCTCTTCGACTGCACGGGTTCGAAACCTGTCGAATGACCCGTCTTTTTCTATCGGAATACACCTTGGCATTGACTCATGGATGGTTTCCTCAGAGGTCCATCTAACTGGTCTTAGCCAAGTGGTTACCGCAGCAGAGTCAAAATCTGTTTCTCTTGCAGTTGGTTCGAAACCTACTGACAATATTTTTGTGGTGTATAGATCCTCGGGGGTCTATCTTAACTTAGTCACGGTAGGCCCAGTCATTGCGCCGAAACCTCTTTTATGTGATAGTCTGTCGATGGCTTCAGCTTTTCTTCAGAAAGTTTTCCAACGAGGATGCGATACCGAGAACTTAAACACCATTCATATGCTGTAGGTGTTGATTCCATCAAGCTTGTTCGCTGTTTATTCGCTGTAAATTATTCTTTGTTCATCGCTCTCAATTTCTTATTAATGCACTCACGATCTCAGATCTGACCAAGTGAAACCAACCTTTGCAAGTTACGACCACTGGTAAACATGTATTGCCTGAGCTTTCCACTTCACTAAGATTCAGATGATGTGAACTTGGCAGTAGCCCTTCATCGGACAAACCTCTCAACGGAAAGGAATGTCACGGTGCTCAAGCATCTTCCGACTACCAGTAAATCCAACCCTCTAAGTTGTGCTTATATCCATCCCAATAATTTGTCAGAACCCGTCTACTCATTCTCATCACACATATAGCATATTGGCCAACAGCGGATTTTCCGCAATTTTCTCGATTGTGGCCCTAGCTCGTTGATGATGCACAATTAGTATAACTTTGATGCATTCTCCAAATGATAGTACATGACATCAGTGCTTGTGGGACAAGATTGCTGCGCTCGGCCTTTATCTAGCGTTCCAAGTACTGTTCGTCTACTTGATCTTTCTGTACACGGCCATCGCCAGGGACTGGCTTACCGCCTCCTACCGTCATCGTGTGTGCAATTGAAACCCGTCATTATAATAACCTCAGTTTATGCATCGGTCTCAGCACAAGTTGATCTCGCGTCGACACAGACTAATATTTTGACATCGACGCGCCTGGCATATTCCAATTTGATACTGCTACATATTTTGTCCGCATCTTTAAGTCCCTCATTGCACGGGTCCAGGGTTCAGCGCTACGTTCCACAAATCAATCTCGCTTTGGCACGCCTTCCTGAAGATCCTGGTCAACTTCTCATAAGAAATGTACCTCCAGCTATCATAGTTATTCTTGAAGAAATCTATGTAGAGATAGCGTCAGTTGAGTAGAGTTACATGGCACAGTAATTCCTTACTGATTTGTTCGGTTGTGGACTTGTAGTGCTTGGCATTCTCGACAACCCAGAGTTTGTACCATGTAGTGTCTGGAAGTATAGTCAGATTAGTTGGAGGCTCGTGCACTGCTGGAAGACGTTATTGACCTTGGTAGATAGCAGTCTGTTGGAGGTCACGAGCGATCGCATAGTACGACTAACGATCGAGTCAGCGATCGGTATAAATTGACCTCATGCAAGGTTTTCCTCTACGAACCTGAATGCCAGGGACTTGAGCGAGCAAAGAGACGACCCAGTTCTCATCCTCCGCAGTGTCAGAGATGAACTTTGTATACCTTTCAGTCGCCTTTTCCCGCTTGGCAGCGAAGACGACTGTGTCTGGGATGTTCAGCTTATCGGCATCGGTGCAGGTTTGGAGGGCGTTAGGAGCCCATTGCGTCAGCGTGTTGTTGAGAGTTCTGGTCAATTTCCCGTATATCGTTGGGTTTGGGGCTTTTGCTGCGCGATCGGCATTGTATGCTATGAGTTGCACGCAGTAGAAGAAGTCTTGCTGTGTGTACAGAGTGGTGAATCACGGTGTGAAGCACCGACAGGTATCAAGTAACGTACGATCATGTACCATTTGAAACCATCGAGGACGGACTGGTTGTCTGCGCTTGCAATACGCATATTCTCGACGAAATCGTTGTGAAGCAACTGGTTCCAAAGATCTTGGTTGTCCCGGATGAGACGATTGACGAGATCCCTGTAGATATGAGGTGAGCACGGTGAGCCGATATAAAGTGCGAGGACATGCTCTTCGGGGATATCGTCATTGAGACCTGCATTGAGTTGGCCATCGTGGCTGAGGTCTTGCGCGGCAACATCATGGTTAGTCGCTGACTCGTTGAGACGGTGGTTTGCTAGGGCGGGATAATCTGACATGGTGATACAGTTTTTGGGAGTGAATTGAAAGCGAAAATTCCTAGGGCATTTATACGTGCATGAAGATGGGTGGATACGCGGGGGCGAATAACCTGCTGCTATCCATCAGAGGTTAGGCTGCCTTGAACCTGGTTCATCAGATGATCCGGATAGAAACGAAGTTCATAACTGCTGTATAAGTCACTCAATCCGAGACCAAACCCTGCATGAGGTATCTCCCTGCCGGGAAGCCTGTCATTTGGGAGTAAATGTGCCTGGCCGGCATCGGGGTATGGGGGGACCGTAAACCGCGTTGGATCACATTTTACGTCTGTTGACACACAGGGGAGTATATTGCCGTTCAACGAACCGAACATGAGATTGTAATGCACCGCGAAGTATCTACCTGCAGGTGCAGGGAAGCTCAAGTGGCAAATGAACCTTGTTATCCGAGTATGGCCTCCGAATTACCAGGGTCTGGGATCATGAGCCGAATGTGGGGTTATATTTTGCAATAGCGGGGATTAATGTGCCCATTGTCCAGGGAACCGAATGAACGATGTAATGATAACCTCGTGCCCAAGCCAGAACTAAGGACGGCTTTTGATATCAGCCTTACTCGATAGATCTGATTGACTTTTCATGAGGGACGTGACTAGTATGCAAGATCCTGATAGAGACTCACTGATCACTACTGCCAGTGAGGGAGCAAAATTGGGTAGGATGGGTTTTGGTCCGTGCACGGGCGCCTATTATTGCATTGTTGCCCAAAAGCTCACTGCGTCCCCACAGACGTGTGCACGTATCCACCGCGTTAGTGTACCATCATCGAGTAAGATCTGAGTCACAGAACCCGGCTGAACATCGGATAAGGACACTTACTAACAGTGGCATACTATGTTTAAACATGAGGGTCGTAGTAGATGACTCGGATCTGAGTATCTTCGAGTTGACCCACATACCTCAAGTTGGCATCCGACGTCCATAGTGAGTCATGCCAATACATTATCCTTGCGTCATTTGACTGTCACCTCGGATAACACTATCACCAAGTATGTATTGCACATCGCTGGCCGCTACTGACGCTCACCATGGAACTCGGTACTCATGAGGTTCACGCACTCAACAGGTTCCCGATCGAAAAGAGTAGATTAAAATAATGTAAATGATACACCTAAAATACAACAGCCCATGCTGTCCAGCGAGACAACAGTAGTAGAACAATCAAGGATAAGCCTACTTCGCTGATGAGCTCGAGAACTTCAGATGTAACGGGTGAGTAAGAGATAGAGACGATATGAAGGTGAAAGATCTGACCTTGGTGACACTCTTTGTGCCTTCCGAGATAGCGTGCTTGGCAAGTTCACCAGGTAGAATAAGTCGTACAGATGTTTGGATCTCCCGAGAAGATATCGTCGATTTTTTGGAGTAAGCGGCGAGTTCTGAAGGGAAGGGGTTAGGAATGATCAATAGGATGATCGGAGAGTACATACTAGATGCTTCAGTTGCGATACGCTCGAAAATGTCGTTGACAAAGGAGTTGAGGATGGCCATGGCCTTGTTGGAGATACCGGTATCAGGGTGCACTTGTCTCAACACTGGGACCAAAGTCAGACTTGGAACAGTAAGAGATGTCGATGGGACATACCCTTGTAGATGTAACTGGAGTAGGTCTCCTTGCGAACTTTACGGCGCTTCTTCTTCTCACCATCAGGCCCCGCAGCAGCGGCAGCAGAAGTCTTGGTAGCCTTCTTAGCCTTGTCGGTAGTCTTTGCGGGTGCCTTTGAGGCAGCAGTGGAAGCAGGGGCCTTGGACGCGGTTGAGACTGGTTTAGGTGCCATTTGATGAAATTGGTGGTAGGAGGTTGTTGTTGAGATGTGAGGTAGTGTGAATGATTATCAAACTCGTTGGGCGTTTGTATTTATCGTTTGTGACGCGTGTGGTCTTATTTGGTACCCGATCAACGCGTCCAAAAATCTTTGTTGATTGCTGAACCTTATTTTATAAAATCACGTGTGCCCAGTATAAATACAAGCGGCCATTGATCGCGGCTCCCCTATTTTATCCTCGTCCTTCATCATCGCCGTCGTCGTACTCTGTACATACACTCTCAAAACACTTTAACAACCCTCTTCAATCAATCTATCATGTCTGGCAAAGTCGGCGGAAAGGCCAAGTCTGGTGGCAAAGCCTCTGGTGAATCTTCATCCAAGTCTCAATCGCGTTCCGCCAAAGCCGGTCTCCAATTCCCCGTCGGTCGTGTTCACCGTCTCTTGAAGAAGGGCAACTACGCACAGCGTGTTGGTGCTGGCGCACCTGGTAAGTCCATCACGAAATTCAATTCCTCACGCGTTTGTTCTAACTTGGACCAAAGTCTACCTTGCAGCCGTATTAGAGTACCTCGCCGCTGAGATCCTGGAGCTCGCCGGTAACGCAGCCCGCGACAACAAGAAGCAGCGTATCGTTCCTAGACATTTGCAACTCGCCATCCGAAATGACGAAGAGTACGCAAAGATTTCTCAGTCATTCTGCACTGACTAACTTGCTTTTCCATAGGCTGAACAAGCTCCTTGGAGACGTTGTCATTTCACAGGGTGGTGTTGTTCCTTTCATCAACCCCGAACTTCTGCCCAGTAAAAGTGCAAAGGGCAAGAAGGAGAGCCAGGAAGTATAATCTTATTCGATTTATTTTCGTTCTTCGGTGTAGGATGTATTTGTATTTTTTATAGTACTCGGTCTTATATATCATTTTCTCACTCTGGAACAGCATCCCGTTGATCCTGTTCTCCTAATACGTGGGACATGTACATGGCACCAGCGCGTCTGATTTTCGTGGCAGTCACGTGCCCGTGTCTCGTACCACAATGAAATGTCTGGGCTTAAAAGAGCCTTTTACTCCACGTCGTCCACCGCAGTGGCTGCCGTTGCAATTTCCAGGTCGTTTCTCTCATTCTGTCCCAAGTCACAAGGAAACGTCAAAATAACACAGAATTCGCAATGGGAAAGGCACGATC